AAAAGGGGCCCTTATTTGTTACCATCGGTCCAAAGAACAACTGCCGCTTTGTGCCCTCGGGCCACACTTTACGCCTTTGTAACCACTTTTGACCTAACGGCAAAAAGTGTTTTGCACCCTCCGGGCCCAAGCACTCCTCTTACTAGGGCCCAAAATGTGCCCACGGGCGCTAAATGGCACTTTGCACCCTCGATGAGAAAAACAAAATGTACGACTTGGGCCCAAACATACAATAACCACACCCTTCGATTGCTCATTTGTTTATAATTTATGCCCTAGTGACGTAATGTACTGTTAAGTTTCTACAAAAACTATAATCAAAGAAAATTTACTGCGCAAAGCTTTACCTACAGTTGAATTTGGCAATACTCGCTAAAGCTTCTTTACGTGTACATTAATGATAATTTTTTGGTTTTTAATTTCATCATTGATTTGTAAGTGAAAACAACCTTTCAAACTTCGACCTTTGAGCATACGTATTATTATTTTTAGTTTAAATTTTTTGAATTTATGAATAGGCCAAATAAGACAGAGAACCGTGGCACCTGTAGTGTCCAAGCTCTCTTTTTTTGTATTTCAGCACTACCTCGTCAATTAGTTAAATTAATCGATCTCTAAAACTATGGTGCGAGAAGAATAAATATTAGAATGAGACCAAAAATCTTAGATGGGGCACTTGTAGATACCCTTCTTTTTACAGTTACTATCAATAATTTTAATTTATGTTTTCAAATTGTGCTGTTCATACAACTAGAGCGTTAGTTATAAATTAAAAGTGTGTGTTTTTATGTATACATACCTGAAAGTGCAATAAGAAAACACAGTAGCTTTGACCACTGAAGAAAAGTCGGCAGATCCTTCCAACCTCGAGTGTTTGACATCATTAACTGTAGATATGTTCAAGTAGTTGCAATTAAAGTAAATAATTGAGGCTAAAAGAATGTAGACATAAGCTCAATTATGTTTTGAAGTCAATCGATGCAAGTAATGTCTGAAAAATACACGACTAGTAGATATACCGCTTATTAAACTAGAGCCTTTGTACCTTACTGCAGTGGTCAAACGTAAAATGGGAAAGCCTTGCACTTTTTTGACAGAGATAGAAGATGACTTCGTCTTGTCACCTGCTATGCACAGGTGTGTGCTTATGATTTGTTAAACAGCAATCAAGCTGATTTCCACTTTTAATCACCTGTCTTTCTCTTAATTAAAAACTTAATTTGCAGCTACCCCCCCCCNGCACTTCTCTAACTAGGGCCCAAAATGTGCCCACGGGCGCAAAATGGCACTTTGTACCCTCGATGAGGAAAACAAAATATACGACTTGGGCACAAACATACAACAACCGCACCCTTCGAGTGCTCATTTATTTGTAATTTATGCCCTAGTGACGTAATGTACCATTAAGTTTCTACAAAAACTATAATCAAGAAAATTTACTGCGCATAGCTTTACCTACAACTTAACTTGGCAATACTCGCTAAATCTTCTTTAAGTGTACATTAATGATTATTTTTTGGTTTTCGATCTCATCATTGATTTGTAAGTGGGAACAACCTATCGAACTTTGACCTTCGAGCATACGTATTATTGTTTTTAGTTTAAATTTTTTGAATTTATGAATAGGCCAAATAAAACAGAGAACCGTGGCACCCGTAGAGTCCAAGCTCTCTTTTTTTGTATTTCAGCACTACCTCGTCAATTAGTTAAATTAATCTATCTCTAAAACTATGGTGTGAGAAGAATAAATATTAGAATGAGACCAAAAATCTTAGATGGGGTACTTGTAGATACCCTTCTTTTTACAGTTACTATCAATAATTTTAATTTATGTTTTCAAATTGTGCTGATCATACAACTAGAGCGTTAGTTATAAATTGAAAGTGTGTGTTTTTATGTATACATACCTGAAAGTGCAATAAGAAGACACAGTAGCTTTGACCACTGAAGAAAAGTCGGCAGATCCTTCCAACCTCGAGTGTTCGACATCATTAACTGTAGGTATGTTCGAGTACTTGCAATTAAAGTAAATAATTGAGGCTAAAAGAATGTAGACATAAGCTCAATTATGTTTTGAAGTCAATCGATGCAAGTAATGTCTGAAAAATCCACGACTAGTAGATATACCGCTTATTGAAGTAGAGCCTTTGTACCTCACTGCAGTGGTCAAACGTAAAATGGGGAAGCCTTACACTTATTTGTCAGAGATAGAAGATGACTTCGTCTTGTCACCTGCTGCGCGCAGGTGTGTGCTTATGATTTGTTAAACAGCAATTAAGCTAATTCGCGCTTTTAATAACCTGTCTTTCTCTTAATTTAAAACTTAATTTGCAGCTACCCCCCCCCTCTCCACCGTCTGTTTCTTAGCTACACCTTTTCGTAACTTGTAATTAAAATAATTGTCTATCTATACGTGATTGCATCAGTAATAATTTTTTAATACTTTTTTTTGAATTCTGAATTACCTTACCAATATAATAAAAAAATTGAAGATTTTTGCAGATAATAAATCTTTTCTTACTATTAAAAATTGACAATGTTCAGGGTAAAGATTCAACAACCACAGATTAGCACGATTTAAAAAAATCCAAATACTTTTAACAGCTTTATTTGAATTTTAATCAAAATTATTTAATCGATTAATACCTTTACATGAATTCTTATGTTTGACTATATTTTTTGTACAAGCTCCCAAAAGACTTGTAATATCTTAGTGCTGTCCTAGATAAATCATAATTTTAAACTCCTTTGCCAGTGCAGCAATATACATTAGATCTGCATTTTTGCAAACTGATTTTATAACTGCAGTTGAGATAGATTTTATTTCAGAAGATATAGGGTTTTTAATACAGCTCTTGAATTGTTTTAATTGCTCATTCCAATTGTTTGTGTTTACGCGAAAAAAAAACATATTGGACGTTGATATATAAATTTAGTTAACATAAATTCTTTAATACACCTGTTTATAATTTCTGCCCTTTTTTTCCTCGTAAATTCTAACCTTTTAACGTCTAGAAGCAATTCTGCTTGATGGTCTGCTGTCAATTCGAAATTTAATAAATTCAGAATCCCATCCTAAAACGAAGTTGGACCAGTATCTGATATAAGTTCTTTTTTAAACTTTAAAAGATTATTTATTTGTAAATGTAATTTGCTCTTTATTATCAAATTTTTCTTTTTAACTATTCTTTTTTTTTTATTACATCTTGTTATTAACCTTTCTATGTTGTATTCTCAGAGATAAATCATAGTTAATTGATATAATAAATGTTTTTTTTTCTGCTATACCCACATTTAATTTTGTACAAATCTCTCGTCCTTAAAGATACAAAGATGAATTTTTATTAAAAAATCTAACTTTACGTTTTTAGAACAAGTATTTTTTTATAATGTCAGTAAGAATTCTAAAGACATGTGGTTAGAAAGAAATAAATTAACTGTCCTTTTTTTCACAGTATTCAAAATAGTAACCTGAAACTTCTGTAAGGTCCAGATATAATGTATTTACACATACGCGCATTCAAACAAACACATGTACAAACATACTCATACCTATAGAATTGCCAGTGTACACTTTTTTGATTCTAATTCATTTATTAAGTTTATATCATGTCATTTCTATAAATGAGTATTTTTATTATGTAACATTTTTTGTATGAGAAAGTAATAATATTTTCCGTTACGAAAAGTGATGTTTCTCGAATATTTAAGGCATAATTTCCCGAATTGTATGCATCAAACACATGATTCTACAACAATAAACATGAAAAAATTTTTTTACAACTTTCAACACACCTTTTTTTTGTTTTGGACTCAAGCGTGACTCAAACAGCCTTGTTCAGTAAAAAGTTTGTCAAGTGCTTCTTTGGTTGACTGCTTAGTATAAAGTAAACTATATTAATTAATTACTGATTTTGTAACTCAATGGAACAATATTCTCTTTTATTTATATTAATTAGTTTGTTGTTAAGAACTTAACAATGCCCATTATAGTTTTGAATAGTATAACCAAATGTGAATTATACTAAACTGTAGTTGTTTTACTCAGTATAATTTATTTTTCAAGATAAAAACATGACATAAAGAAATGTGTAATTATTTTTAGCAATGGCATTTGCTACCTTTTACAACAATAATTTGTGATTGCTTCACTGTTCCGTAATCGTTCTTAGCATGGCATGAATAATTATCAGCATCTTTTTCAAAAAAATATCTTATAACTAATGTTTGATTGCTATCCTCGAAAATATACTGTGATGAACTCTTCAAAGGTACATTGTTTTTTTACTACGTAAAATTAAGGGTTTAAATCCCCCTGACATGGCATAATAATGTCAGGGGATTCTCAAAATACCTTGCCATCACAGCTCTCTCTGTAGCTTCCAAATTTACAAAGGTAAAAAAAGGTGGACCTACACAAATGAATTACCATCAACGGAATAAAAATAGTTGAGATTTATAAAAGATAATATACATCATAACTGTTTCTTATTCTTACTATTGATGTTAAGGAAATATGATTCTGTAAGTATTTTGCGCTAAGGATATCCAACATATTCGTAGTATCTTTTTGTTCCTTTGCAATAGTACTTTCTCCTGTCTGATTGACTGGTGTTATTGATCGTGAGAATGGCGTGGTAAGTGAATTCAGTTATCTTCGATGTAACGTGTATTCTTTCTATACATATTAGAAAACATGTATAATTAGTCAAACTGTACTAAAAAACATGACTCATAACACTTAAAAATTAAATTTAGAACCAACCGGAGCTCAATACCACTTGACAATTATCATCATAATACTCAACGATGGAGAAATCATTAATTACAGCAGCACATATTAAAGAAATATTTTCACCCTTATGAAAACTTCTATTTGGTTGTATGATTCCAAAAGATGCATAAGTAACCTTATCTGAAGAAAAAAAAAATTATCTATGCAATAGCAACTCACGAAAGAAAGTAAAAGATGAATAAAAATCCAAGTTGAACACTTGATATTATTTAGATCTATTTACATGTCATGCGAATTTTCTTTGATGTAGAGGTACATCCATAGCTATTGCAAGCCTTGCATGTTATTACATTAGATGTTACTAACTGTTTCAGTGCTACCGTTGACTTTTGTTTGGAATTGCTATTTTGCAGATCTGTTTCTATTCCCTGGAAAAATTAATTAACTTTCAAAAAATGTTATTTCTATAGTTACATTCAAATATTAGTCCAAACGTAAGAATGCAGATTAGCAAATTATTTTTTATATTAACTAACAAACCAGTAAGTTATGGTCTGTAAGATTAATTGTCAACGTTATCGTCCAATAGTTAATTTCGGTCCAGGATATATTCGACTTAGATGACGATCGACAAGGCAAACAAACTGGGCAGTTTTATTAAAACTGAAGTGAGATTAAAGGTAAGTTTTGTCAAACTGGACCGTTGCCTTACCTTCAAGAAAAAAAAAATCAAATGCTTAACATAAAGTTCCATGTAAAAAAGCAGCAAAAGTATTTAGAACTGCATTATATTGTAAAAATCCAAAAAAAAATTGTTTATTCTCAAAATTTGAGCCACAAGATAACTGACAATTTTGACTTTTTTATTTTACTAACTGTCATTTTGGTTCACGTTTAAGCTTTGCAGTTTTTAAACAGAATCAGAACTTGACAGATAGAAGTTGGAATCTTTAAATGTCATGTTTCAATTTCAAAGAGTTTCACAGTCGTAACGGTTACAAAAATAGAATATTTTATCTAAATTAGTAGATTGAAAGTACAAATTCATAGCCCTAGCAAGTATACATTGACTAATATTAATTTAATCTTAAATATGAAAACCGTATAAAAAGTTACTGTTTGGCTCTTTATTTATTCAAAAATCATACAATGTAGTCCATGATTCTTCTGAATGTGTTATGGATTATTTTCGGACGACTAGATGAATCTTTTATGTCTCTTTCTGTAAATGATGCAAAAGAGCTGGTCCAAATTTTAATTAATGTCTAATGTCGAATACTTATAAATTATAAGTGTAGATGGTTGCAACTTTCATTGATATAAAAGAATACAAATGCGTTTAATAGACAATTTCAAACGTAGTTTCTATCAAGCCCACTAATCTACAATAAAGAAGTGCCAATTTCTAAAAAAAATTTTTCAAAGTATATCAGGAATGGTTTCTTATCACTGAGGTCAGTATTTAAACACCATTATGTAGGTAAAGAAAATGATAAAGTCTAAAATCTTTTTGAGAGACGACGTTTTTTTCCTTTTAATCGGTGCATATAATGTAAAATAAAGAATTATTAACTCCCTAAATCTCAAAACTAATACTACGAGATCATTATTATTTAGGTGCAGCAAGTCTAGAGTTTAAATAACAATTTTACCACTGCCTACATACTACTTCCATTTCTGATGAAATTAAACTAAAAATACTTAAAACTTAGTAATAAAACTGTAAAAAAAATGGTCTCACTAATCTTTTTTAATTTTTAATGTTGTCCGTTCAAAATATTAATGACACGCGAAAATCTAACTTATTTATCTACCATAAACGTCAAGATAAAATTTCAACACCTTTACTATTTTATCATGCTTAGCTTTAAGCGTAAAAGTTCCCATGTCATCTTTATCGATGTTTAATAAAGTTTATCGTCTCATCGTTCCGTAATCGGATATTCTTACGTCCTTTAAGGCACTAATCATAGCTGTGTCGTTGTGATTAGTTGAACAGCCATTGATTAGTTGTGTAGTCGTGCCAAAATACCACCAACATCGAAATACCTTCCATAGGATAAAAAAAAAACAATTCTTCAAAAGAAGTGATATTAGAAACATAATTTTTTTAAATTTTCATTTTTTATAAGTTGTATCTTGTATTTAGAAGAATAACTAAGACATAATTAAAATGCGTCTAATTTCTCAGTAACCAGATTTCATAATGTAATAAAAAAGAGCACGATCAATTGCTCGCCTTTTTACACTTAAA